GGTTATTGCACGGGATTGTACGTCAGACACCGTGAAATAATATAGTTATTGTATGGATATATGAATAACCCGTGGCCGAAGGCCACGGTTATTCACTACATACCCATACAATAACAAGTATATATTTAATCATTGCGGGATTAATTTTGCAGTGGTTAAATCCGATAAGGCGAATGATGATTTTAATCCTTTTTCGAGACCGACTTCTGTTTATTTGATAGTTTGGAACCGATTTATTTTTTATATGACAAAACCATTAAAACCGGGTTTGATATATAAAAATAACACCGGTTTTAAACTTTAATCTATTGAACTTTATTGTTCTGGACTCGGTGTTGAAAATTTAGCACAAAAAATTTGTGTATAAAAAAAAAAATTTTTGTGCATGCACAGATTTTTGCGCCATCTAACTTTTATGTAAATGAATCGCATATCAATTTTAATAAATATTATATATTATATAAATTTGATTGTGCAGTTTATTGTGGAACTGTACAATTATCTTGCACAATATATTGTTAATTTTGTGCAAATAACAATACATGTATAATGAATTTTCAACACTATTTTGGACTATAAAAAAAAGAGTAATATTTATCAATTTGCTATATATTTTTATTAGTGTTGGCAAATAGAACAATAGAACTAAAGTTCAATTTTTTGTTTTTATATAAAAAAATTTTTTTTATTAATAACTTGCAATTATTTAAACATATATTGTTAAAGCATTAATAACGTAATAAATTTAAAATATTTTATATTTAATTAGTAAAATTTAATATTTAAAATTTATAATAGAAAATAAAAAAATAAGTATACAATATTGGGCAAAATTTGTTGAATAACGGTAATTTGGCTCAACCAGGCAAATGATTGGCTGACACATGCCGCGAAGTGGCACGTGTTCAGCCGATCATTTGCCTGGTTGAGTCAAATTACCGTATTCAACAATTTGCCCAATATTGGTGTTATACAGCAATTTATGATCATGGCCGATCCTCCCCCCCCCCTATATATAGATTTTAGATCTAGAAAATTGATAATCATATAGAAAAAAAAAATTTTTTCTCTCTTTCGTTGGCACAGTAGTCTTTTTTTTTTTTTAAATAAATACATTCTTTTTTTACCTTATAAACAACGTAAAACGTATTTCTGAAGCCTTGTACACCTTGTAATGCCTAAGTCAAAGGCTGTTATGAATGGTTCCGGTGATGTGGAGATGAATGCCAATTCATCATCTGGGGCCAAAAAAGCAACGAACAAAACTGTTTCAAGCGTGATCACACGCTTTATGACCAGTAACACCAAAAGAAAAGCCGTTTCAGCCGTAATTAGTAATGAAAAGTCAAGCCTGGATGATAATGTTGAGTTAAATGAGAGTAGTAATGTTGAAATTGAGGCTGGTGGTGCTGTTTTTGTGAAAAATAAGGTAAAGCGCTTTTTTTTCTTTGAGCAATTTATTATTCATAAGGTGAAACAAAAGACTGACACAAAATTTTAGCAGGCTAGGTATAAGGAACCTACTTCTGAGGAACTTAAAGTCATTCATGGGAACGCAAGGGTGAAAGCAACAAATAAAGCAACGGAGGGTTAGATTAGGGCCCTTGAAGAGTTTCGTTTCAATGTTGGCTTTAAAGGCAAGATCGAAGAAATCGATTTAAAAGAGGTCCTTGAAGACCAATTGTCAAAATTTGTATGTGTTATGAAAAAAATGATGGTGATGAATACCATGCCTCCTCGATTTGTAATTGTCTGGCTGCTATTTGGCGGCACTTAAACCAGCATTCAGTAATGCCCAAGCCGGTGGAAATTCTTAACCCAAAGGTTTATTTCGATTTGAATGCCACTGTTAGTGTTAAATTAAAAAGTTTAACAGCGAAGGGTCTAGGCGAACGTGCTGGGTCAGATGGGTTGACTTTAGAAGAATTTGAGCAGATTCTTTCCCACGAGACTATGCAATGCAATAATCCGGAAGGACTTTTGCGGCAGATTTTTTTTTACAATTCAATTCTTTTGGCCCTGTGGGGCGGTGAACATCATGATCTTCAAATAGATAACTTCGTGAAATGATTTGATGGTGGGATCGATGTGAAACTGTACAGATCGAAAACAAATCAACGAGGAATCGGGGATTACGATGGAAAAGCCAAGGTCATAAGTTTGCTGTACATCAAAAGTATAATTGATGACTATGAGTTCTATTTCAGTAAACATCTGGTCACGAAATTGGTGAATTTTATTTAAGCCCTATTCCTGCAAACACGGGTAAATATCTATTTCGATTTTAGAATTTTTGATTATTGTACTAATATATTTTTTTTGTTTCCAAGTCGAATTTAGTGGCCAATGGTACTATGGGTGTGCATTCAGGGAAAAAAAATTAAGAACATATTTTCGGGTTATTTGTGAATCTATGAATGTACAATTTGGTGGACGTAGTATATCCAACCATTTGGGAAGAAAACCGCGGTTCAAGTACTAAAAGAACTCATGTATTCAGATTTTGTGGTTATGTCGATTACAAGACATAAATCACAGAAAGGTTTGGCAGCATACGAACGTCCGAAGACAATAATGCAGTACGAAGGCATTAACAGATTTTTTAGGGCATTGATGGTCGTGAACAATGGGGAAGGATCATATAAAGGTAATTTTTTAAATGTGGGTTTAAGAATTTTGAAAATTTTATATATCTTTTTTTTTTTCTTTTTAGAAAATGAAGCACTTGGTGCAAAAACAGACCATGCAAAGGATTTGGTTGGGGATTTAAACGGGCAAGTTCAATGATTTCACTCGCAAGTGAACTTGCAGGTGATATCGATGGTCTTGAATTATTATTGACGGTTGATGTTGATGAATCACCAGGAGAAATCGCCGATAAACACCAGAAGAAATCACCGATAAACCACCAGGAGAAATCGCCAATAAACCACCAGGAGCTGCTGCTGAACCACCAGGAGCTGCTGCTGCAAAAAAGCTACCAGCACGAACATGTAAAGTGTTGGGCGAAATGGAACCCCACGAAAATGAAAAAAGCGAAGAAAAACAGAAGGAATTTATTGAAAAATTCCTTACCGGGAATACGTTTAATAATTGTGTTTTTAATTTTTAATTATATAGAAATGCAAAATGTTAATTAATATTGTAATTTGA